TCTGGGTGCTCATTTTACCTACCTTGGAAGGATGGAAGGCTGAGTCAACCTTGAGCCAGTGAGATTTGAACCGCCGAACTGCAGCTAGCAGTCAGCTGAAGTAGCCTGCAGTACTGCACTCTACCCACTGTGCCACCTCGGCTCTACAGTATCCTTCCCCTGCCAGGCCCACCAAGCCATGCCATACCCACAGAACTGGTAGTAAAAAAATTTGAATCCCATCACTGACTTACAACCATTTGTTCAGCAACTGTTTGGACTTACAATAGCACTAAAAATATGATTTACAACCACTTCTTCCATTTATGACCATCGCAGCATCCCTATGTTCCCATGATCAAAATTTGCGTGCTCGGCAACCTGCATATGTTTATGATGGTTGCAGCCTCCTTGGGTCATTGGATCACCATCTGTGATCTTTTCAGTGGCTTCCAACAAAGTCAATGAGGAAAGCCAATTTGCTTGATCACAGGTTGATTCACTCAACTGTGATGTGATTGATTCACTTAACAACAGTAGGAAAAAAGGTCATAAAATTAGTCATGACTCACTTAAGCCCTGGATTAGCAACAGAAATTCTGATCCCAATTGTGGTCATAAATCGAAGACTACTTATAAAGCTACCACAAAGTCCTTTCAACAGAAAAGAATCCAATGTATTCAGCTGCAAGTAAATATTTCCCAGATATAGTCTTATTGAAGAAAATATATTTATCAGCACTATGGAAACTGCTTTAATTTCCCTCACCTATTGCCCAAGGTAAGCCCAAGTCTGAAAATACATGGACCTATGTAAAAGTCAAAGTAGATATTAAATGCTTCTGAAAAACACAACCTGTTCTATGAGATTGCAAGCATTACTTACCGCTTTTGCAACTGTTCTTAAACAGTGAAACCTGATCTAAAAAAAAATTAGGGAAGAAGTGAACTGGCATCAGGTGCACAGGAGAAAGCAAAAAAGAGGGTTTTTTTTAATGATCACTCAGCTTTCTTAAGGAAAAGATATTCTTTTGTTGCAAACCCTAACTGCCCATAAATTTAAGACAGAATTATTCCAGTGCAGAGAAATTAAAATTGACATTTTGAAATTAATAAGTCTCTCTGCATTACTTCACTATAACTGCTTCTCAGAATGGTAACTAAATTTAAGCATTTGTAATTACTTGTATTTTGAACCAAGAGTTCCACAAGGTAAATAGTTCTATATTTTCCAGATTCACATTTCAAACTTTTTAGACACAAAACTAGATGTTTTTTTAAGTGACCAGTTCTCATTCCTCAAATACAAAGTAAAGGCCTTTCTTTAGCAACCAGCACTTTAGACTTTCCAACCTGCTTCTATAGTGCGTGGGATGTTTCTGAAGTTGTAACAGCTGTTGTACTTGCCAGGACTGTTCTCAGTAACTCTGTTAGGTTTTGCCTGTAGGCTACTAGTTATTACTTGATAATTTTTCTCTTTGATAGTATCTCTGTGCACCTGACATCAACCTGAGGCCCTAAGCAATTTTTATTCTCCAAGCTTCCAGAAAAAAAATAGAAATTATTAGATTTTTAAGAATAAATAATGGAGCTCAAGGCAGCTTACATGGGAATATCATTAATGTGTTCCCATGAGAACAACACTAAGGAGTAGATTAGGTTGAGAAATACAGTAGCAACTGGCCTAAAATCAACCAGTAAGTTTCTCTGGCTAAGTACTTGAACCTGAATTTTCCCGGTTCTAGAACATTTTAACCACTTTTTCAGTCTCTGAAAGATCCAACATAGCTCAGCAAAATATAGATAAAATAGATGCCATTAACACAGTTCCATGATTCAGAGAGAGGCAAAGACTTGAGTTCCAATTCTACCCATGTTGAGATTGTTATTTTGGCGAATACTGTGGCTTTCTATCAATTGCACAGCATTACTAAAAGGCTATCTTACCGATTTTCACACTGTTTTCCTTGCATCTCATTCTAACCGGTTCTCCCGCTTCAGTCAGGTGAAGGTGGATACAGTTCTTAGGCCTAAACCCTGAAAGCTCTGAATGAAAGCCCAGGTAGCTTAAGGTCTGAACTTCAGGAGAGCCATAATGGATGGAGGGCTCCACCGATTTGTGGGGGTGCCACGTGAGGTAGTGGGTAGCAAACTGGAAGCCTATGGAGTCCTGATGCTGCAGGCAAAAGGTTGGCAACCTAGCACTGGGTTGTGGATGCCCGTGCCTGTCAAGGCTTAGCCGTGTCTCACGAACCAAAGAAACAGGATTTCTTCTGAACCATCCCCAGCTCTTCTCCATGGCGTCTCCGAAACCAATACCCCAGAGCGGCGGGGAAAAGAGATCCTGCTGTGACCCCAGCCGAAAGTCACCCCACGGGCTCGTTTCTGATAAAATATCCTGGCCGACCATCCCTCCGCCAAAGCCCCCCTCAAAAGACCTCCCCCCGCTCGTCGCCCCCTGCTTCGAGCGCCTCAGCTGTAAAACAGCGACCTGGGCCGGGCTGTTTTTGCAAGCCGCTCACCTGGGTCTTAGTGGTGAGCTGGATCACAGCCTTCCTGAAGTTGAGCTTGGAGTCGGCGTTACCCATCCTCCCGCATCAGGATCCGGGTCCGCTTCCCTTCCCTGCTCCCGCCTTGCTCTCGCTCTCTCCTTCGCTCACTCGCTCGCCGGCGGTCTCTCACTGCGGCGGTAGCCGTGCCCTTCTTTTTCTCCTCTGACGCCGCCGCCTGTCCCGCTAATCCCCCTCGTCCTCGCCCCCTCTGCCGGACGCGGTGGGCTCCATTAGCGCTGCTCCGTCCACCTGCTCCCTGCAGGCTGGCTGGTCTCCTCCCGCTTGTCAAAGGCAGCTGGGGCTATTCCCGGCGCTTGATCCCGCCTTCCCTAGTCGTCAGAGGCGCGGCTCCGCCTCGCTTTCGCTCAATTACACGACAGCCGCCTCCTTCCCTCGGCAGGGCTCCGGAGAGCCGCCGGCTGGTTCCTCCCTGCTGGCTGGCCAGTCCCGCTGGGTCGAGCGCTGTTTCTCCTTCCCCACCGGCGAAGGCGTCTCTTCGTCGTCGTCCCTCTTCGTCCGAATCCGACCCCCCACCCGTATCTGATTCGGCCCTGTGGCTTTTCCCCTCGCTGCCTGCCTCTTGGTGGTTCCAGTTAGTCGGAAATCCGTGTTTAAAAGCGAGTCAGCTCACGTCGGCGGGAGGGGAAATGCAGTTCTACAAGGTTCCCTCTTCCCCGCATTTTTCTTGGCTGCCTGCCCTTAAAATAGACCCTTAGGCATTTCCTCCTTTTAGGCGCACTTGTTTTGTACATGTTCATTATTTAATTATTAATTTTACACATGCTCATTCATTGAGGTTTCATACCCCATCTCTTGCCCTTCTCTCCTCCCATTCTTCCCAACCAACACCAGCCTGTGAGGTGGGTAGAACTGGGCTGAGAGAAGATGACTACCCCCAAAGTGATCTTGCAATGCTGTGGGTGGCTTTGAAGCTAGGTCTCCTCTGGGCCAGTCCAAACCCTTTTATCTTGGTTTTTAAAAAAATGATACCTTTCTATTCACACTAACTCCATAAAGTTTATCCAGAGTGGGTCTATAATAGGAACTCAGCAATTTACAAGAGTCTCTCCCACAAACAAGCATTTTTTTTTGTATTTTGACAATAACAACACTATGGCAATAAAATAACTCAGTTTGCCTGCCTTAATTGTGTGCAAAATTTGTCAAGCGAGACAGCTTCCCCACTGTACCTCAGAGGAAGCGAAGTCTGTAAAACGATCCCTCACTTCCTTTCATTAGCCTCTCCTTGACATTATTTATTTATTGCTTCATGCCTTCTCCCTCCCACCCAGCAGCACAATATTCAATGAGGACACTTTAAAACCTTATTCTCTTTATAATTCACTCTCCATGTGTTTACGCATAATCTGGATTGTTATCATGAAGTTATGTTTTTCCCCTTTTAAATATTTAAATTCTAGTTATTAAAGATCATATTTTAAGCATAAACATATATTAACAACTTGGTTGCAGTTTTAATTACCTTAATTGAAGGAAGTGCAATCAATGTCTCCCTCTCTCTCTCCCTCTCTCTGTATGTGTGTGTACATGTACGTACGTACGTATGTATGTATGTATATGAGGTCCCACTGCAGAATATCAAATGAAATATGGTAATTTTTAATTTGCCTTTTCTCAACAAAAGTACTCAAAGTGGCTAGAAATAATATGCAAATAAATTAATGTCATTAAATATTAAAACCCGTCCATTAAAAACCCCATTTAATAAAATCACATTAACTGGAAATGAATGACATCCCTTCCCAGCTTGACATTTGTATTAATAATAACTTGGCCCTAGTAAGACACTGAAATCTTAAATAAAAATTGTTGCAAGAAAGACTATAGGACTAGATAGGAATGGCTTCTATGATAGTGATTTTAGCTTTCTTAGTCTTTGGCTTTTAGTGTAATGAGGAAAAAACTACCCTTCTATGAAGATGGGCCAATGTGCACCTGGATCTTGCTTATTGACAGTTACTAGCAAGTTTCTCAGTATGAAAATTCTTTCTTACATTGGCACTGAGCATATGTACGCTATCCCCACCAGATTGTAATTACCCAACAAAATTTACTTCCTTCCTTGAACTATACAGCTAAAATCAGATGATGTCCAACTAACTCCATTGGGATTTATAATTAGCCCTAAGGACCATTGAAACTACAAACTCTATGAATTTTGGTCACTATATTAATTTTTTGAGGGGTGCAAGAAATATTTTTGAGGATTCAGTCAAGTAATAGCCTCTTAACACGAGATTTTCTGCCTTTGCTAAGATAAAAAAAATTGTGGGAATTTCTGCAATTAGCTCAGGATATGTACTGGGATGAAAACCTTAACTAATCAACTCAGAAAAAAACTATCAGATAAAATCAGAGATACAGAGAGACAATGATGCATTAATTCAAATCTGCTTGGGCACAATGAGAACATGGTTGTTTTGTTTCTGATGGCTTTGTTGGACTGTATGAATAGGTATCAGTAACCACTATTATATTTTTCCTGCTTCCACCTTTCAGGCAAGGTTTAAATGAACATAAACCTCAGAAATACTTTCACTGTTATGTAAAATGCTAGCAAGGCAATTGGCCTGAACTTGGACCTATAGCTGAATTTACTTCCATTCAGTTGGCACCTTAAAACTACAAACAATATGCCTGTTATCCATGTCTACTGCCAATTGTATATGGCTCTTTTCAATTACAAAATCTTTGTTTTCTCTAGGAATGTTAAATTGTCAGTACTTGCTAAAGGATCAGCTACTTCATGCAAGCCTTCCTACAAGTGATCTTGTGATCTCATCACTGCCAGGATGACCAACATCAATGATGTGTATCAAGCCTAGCTTTCCCCCAGAATTTCCCCTCCACATGACCATCTAAGATAAATGCCTAGGTTGTTTGATCATTCCCTGTGATCGCATTAATCAGGTCTATGGCTTTTTATCTGCAATTTCTAGGCATATTGAAAATGCGCCCTATTTTCCATTGCTTCCTTCCAGTCCTAGAATGTCCCCCTCTACTCATTCCCACATCTTGGGGAAGCGTTTGTAGTATAGCTTATTTTTAGACTTTTGAGTTATTTTGGAAGGCCACCAAGACACAAAACATTTGGGAAAGATAATATACAATGATCATGTACATTGTCTCTTTTCGCCATTCCATTTGCAAGACTCTCACAATTGCAAGCTGCCCAACTGGCTGTGCAATAAAGCTTCTGCACCTGCCAGTAGTTCTGATCCTGAGCATTAAGCAATGAAGTTGAAGAAAAGCCTTCTCTTTCCCCTATCTCAAGTCAGGAAGGGAGAGAAGTGGAAATTTCTGAAATGGGGGAGTTCTTAACAAAATTGCAGAGATGAAAACAGTGTCTCCATTCCTGCTGGCTTGACTGAGGAGGTCTGAAAGGGGCAAGATGGAGCTTGGAGAAGGGAACAGAGTGAAGATTGAGGCTGGAACCAATGGTTCTCCAAGGGCAGATGGCCATTATGTTAAGCATGTAAGAACAGTTTTGCTTCAGAGCCAAGTACAATGACAAGAATTCATTAATTTATGGAAATAAGAGAAAAATAACTATATTTAAAACACTAAAGTATATTTCTCACCATTACACTTGCAATCATCTATTTTGTGTAGCTTTATTGTTGTCTTTATTATTTAACAATAAAGATTCTAATCTATTGTAGAGTTGTCTTTTGAGATTAAACTAAGCCATGAAGCTAAGCCATCTGATCTGAGATTTATTACTGAGCCAGCAAAGTTAATTTAATTTAAATGTTAACTTGGTTAAAACTACGTTTGGCACACTTTTGAAATGGTTTTGAGGTTGAATGCAAGGCATGAGGGCACACATGCTTCTTGGCTATTAGTTATGCACTTCTATCTTAAATTTTAGGATTACTTATTCTCATTTTTTCTTATTTTTTCTTTGCTTTTGCCCTTCATTGTAATTCTTAAAATAAATCTGTTACATCATCCAGCAGTACCATATTTCATTAAATGCTTCTACTGAAATTATGGGATTATCCAAGACAATGAAAAAGCTTTTTATCCAATACCAAATATCTCTGCATTGTATTCAAGCAGCATTTGAATAAAGGTGCTTTTAATACTTTCAAAGACTCCCATAGACTAGGTTCCAGTATAGATATAAGGTAGGACCAAATTTAAAATGCTAATTTTATGTATTAAAGAAAAGCAAATCATGGTCTCATGAGTGAAAAAACCCTGTCAATGAAAATAGACAACAAATTGGGGGATATTTGGTCTATTGACATCATTATGTCAATTTTGTATGCATGAATAAGATTTTGTATGCATGAATAAATCTACCTACCTCAGGGTTAAAGCTGTTTAGCCTACTCTGAGTTAGTTAGACCCTATTCTCATTCATAGTTGTTCAATTGTGCATGAACCCAAACTTTCTCCTCACTCATATAATGTTTTCCTCATTTCACTCCCACCCCAGGAATGAAGAAGTCTACAGGTATCCTTAGTCTTTCTCCCATTATGCCAAATAACAAGTGCAAGGTGTGAAAAAAAATCTGTTATGCTTAACAGTACAACCTGTTATCTTGGAGATGAGGTTAAATTATCTACTTCAAATATGATCAGATGCATATTTTGAGTTTTAGGAACTATAATGTTCCCTTCTGGTTACTGGCTAGCCTCTGTTGCAGCCAATATTTTTTCCAATAATTTTCTTCCAATATTTGCTATCTCCTTGGCAACTTTTTAAAAAGTTTTTTTGTTCCTTTTTTCTCCAAAGGCACAGGACAATGAATAATACCTAATTTATAAATATATCTAATTTGTTTCTATAACGTTTTTCTATTTTCAACTACAAGCAAGATTCAATTCAGAAAAATATTGGAAAAAAATATTGGCTGCTTCAGAGGTTAGCACATCCAACCATGGATGTTCCCATTATTAGAAGGTAATGGGAACATCCATGATTCCCCAAACTCCCCACACTTAGTCTTGGAAATTCACTTAGTTACTCTTGTGCCAGTTAATCTCTCTCAGCCTAACCAATACAGGTAGTCCTCAACATACGACCACAATTGAGCCCAAAATTTATGTTGCTAAATGAGAAATGTGTTAAGTAAGTTTTGCCCCATTTTATGACCTTTCTTGCCATAGTTGTTAAGTGAATCACTGCAGTTGATAAGTTAGTAATCTGATTGTTAAATGAATCCGTTTCCCCATTGACTTTGTTTGTGAAATGGCTGCAAAAAATGGATGTACATGACCTTGGTGCACAGCAACTACTGTCATAGATATGAACCAGTTGCCAAGCGTCTGAATTTTGATCACATGAACACGGGAATGCGGCC